TTACTCCCGTTCAAGCGATTACCTGTTGCGAACAGCTTCAAATATGATCTACCAGTTTTCAGTCATCACCGATTCCTCAGGCAGCTCCGCTATCTTCTGATTCAGCACCACGCCTGACTAAGCGGGGTCTTATATGGTTCATCTCTCCATATCCCTTCCGTGACTAGAATGTAGACCTCGTCTACGGTTCATGGGGTTGTGCAATAGAAAATCGACAGTATGTGCATGTTCAAGGTCAACGCTTTAAAACCGAGGTGAACGAAATTGACTGAGGAAGGTGAAGAAGCTTTATTAAGGCGAGGCGTGGCTGTGAAAACTATTTTCACTTATTAAAAACCGGTACAATAGGAAAAAAATTATTTTCAAAATTCAGATAGCTGGAGAGGGAAAACCACCGAGTGGTCTCGATTTCTAGTAAAAGCATGCTTACTGGTTGTACCGTTCAGCCCATAGGATTGCCTTGTCTTCATTCTAGCACGAAGTGTTTCCCATGAGCTTGGAATGTTGTCGGTTTACCTATTCATAGCATTTTCACCCTTACCAACACACATGGAAGTTAGTTGGTCGATGGAATTATTTTACAGAAGACATATGTGGGCAGAATTGATACTGACCATCAATTTCGCGTGCTCTCATTCAGCTGTAAACGCACATTTATATGATCATGTGAAACGAAGAAGCATAAGAGTTGAAATGAGTCATTTGAACAAAGTGTTAGACAAGTGAGTCGAGTGATTTGTGTTCGGTTAAGGTCAAGTAAGATGAGAAAATTCGATATGGGTTGAACTGGACCAAACGATACAGTGAATGTGGTGAACTAGGGAGGGGGAGGGAAGGTCATGTCACGTCATTCTATGGTTGGGTGGTATCAAGTGTGATATCATCACTACCATGGCAAAAACAGTTGCGTCACAAATGTTTTTTGAACATAATTGCGGTTTCGCTTCTAAGAATCAGAAAGTCCGTGAACTTTGAGGCGTCGCAATGACTCGAAACGCTTTGGGTGCGTCTATGTGGTGACCGGAATCTAACAAATGACGGGCAATCGCACTAGATGGTAATTTCCCTCGGCGAAGACCAAGGTGTTTCGGAATATGTTCACACATTCTGGTTGATAAGTGACGTTCTGTCCTTCCGATATACCGCTGACCGCAAGTACATTGAAATGAATAGATGCAGTTGGAGGTAACACTAACGTCTTTTCGATCCAGATTAGTGCGTGTGAGACAACGAACCGTCCCGTAGACAATCATTAGTCTTGCGGCATTTTACGTCCTTTCGACAGCGTGTGTTAAACGTCGAGATATCCTTGTTGTCACATCATCTCCCTTGAAGGGCAGTTCCATATAGACATCTTTCTTCCTAACCGATAGGGAAATAGGCTTGGTGTTGATCGGCTTGCTGCACTTGTGGATGAATGCGATGGGATAACCATTGTCTATCAAAGTACTGGCCTGTCGGTTCAGTTCATCTGGCAGGACGTGCAGACTGCATAGTTGGCGAACCCTGAGAAACAGAGTGCGTACCAGACCCCGCTTGTATCCCACAGGGCAGAAACTCCTGAAGTGTAAATACTGTCTTGTCCATGTAGACTTTCGATACATAGATATCTGTAGCTTACCGTCTGACATTCGATTGAGTAGTAAGTCAAGGAATGGAAGTTTTGATTCCGATTCACATTCTAGTTCACCACATCGTTTGGTCCAGTTCAGCCCATATCGAATTTTTCATCTTACTTGACCTCAACCCTTAACCGAACACAAATCACTCGACTCACTTGTCTAACACTTTGTTCAAATGACTCATTTCAACTCTTATGCTTCTTCGTTTCACATGATCATATAAATGTGCGTTTACAGCTGAATGAGAGCACGCGAAATTGATGGCCAATATCAATTCTACCCAAATATGTCTTCTGTTGTTGAACAAACAATATTGTTTTTTGCAGTGATAAAGGGGCGTCAAGTCGTAGTCTAACACACTGCTGTGAACACCATTCCAGTTTTCTGTCAATGCGACCATATCCCTGCGCTTGCTGTGTTACACAACTTTTTTTGCAGGGTGGAAGGTGGAATTAGCGTCAAAACTAACTAAAATCATGAAGATATGCAGGTGCTTTTTATATACCGACGTTTGAAGAAACACTCGCTTTTACTGGAATTGGAAGTTCTTGTCTTTCGAATAAAAACTAATGCATCTAAGGAAGAAAAATGTCTTTAAGGAATGGGCGATTGATCTTAATACACATTTGGAAAGCGGATAAGTGCTTTCAAGATGTCTTGCGGATATCCCTATAGATTTCATGCTCAAAATGAGAAGTCGTTTTGGCACACGCATGCCATTGAGAAAAACGGATGAAGTGGCTTCATTACCTAACATCGTCTGAAGGCAGGAAAAGATGAATTTGTGGAGTAATTGAAGCAAAATATAGAAGTATCAGATATTACCAAGAGGTGTGCTAATAGTTTTGAATGCATAATGTAAACGTCTTTTTACATCCTTTTTCATTTATTGAATATGCAAATGTACAGTCAACATTCGGGAAGGGGGGCGCGCCCTGACAAAGGCTGCCTGGAACAATACGGAAATAGGGAAGGGGTTGGCGGTGGAGCGGTTCGAACCCTGGACTCCTAGGTTGCTAACCTAACCACTTGGCCACCACCACCCAACCGTTTTGTTAAATAGTAACGTGGACGTATTTACAGTTTTACATTTGCATCCTCATTGATCCGAAAACTTTGGAGATTGCTGAAGCGGCATGGTGCACTTTGAGAGGGTTGGGAGATTTCAACGTGTACATTGCTGACTACAATAAAGAACGGTAAATTACGCATGATGCGTTCTGGACAGTTACAAGACTCCGCTGTGCAGTCGTGCGTCGATGAATACCTGTCACACCCATGCCACTTTGTTTTCTATTGCACTCTTTGAACAACGGTAACATCTAAGAAATCAAGTGAAGCCAAAACGAGTTCTGTACTCTTCCGTCAATTCGGTACCATAATTCAAAGTGTGGAGATGTAAAAGTCCAGAGTTTAGAGCGGCCGACTGAGTCGAAAGCCGCTTTCAGATAGAGGTAGATAGAAATGGTGTGTAGTGGTGGTGGATGGGGACCCCGAGCTCATTGTAACCGGTGGTTAGAGACATTGAGTGATGTGGTTGGGTGTCGCAAACAGTGGTGCTCATGCATAAACTCTTTATTCCTGCAACTCCGGTCTATATGAATTCTCTATCTTCACTTTGACTCCGCTCTCAACATTCCAATCTTCATTCTTTTATCCAAATGGGCAGCCAAAAAGATAGTAACCAAACCGGCGCATGAAAATGTATGGTTATTGGTTTTGAAAATTGAAAAGTCCTTTCAATGAATTTATAATCTCCAAGCGTGCTATCAACCGGAATGACTAGTCAAAAGCTCCGGTAATGCAAACGTATTATGCAAGAAGAAACAAATGAGAGATAAGAATCATTAAAAACAAAAAGATGAATGGCATAATCATGAAAGTCAAATGACAGTGACACTCGCTTAATTAATGCGACGGGATTGAGGTTCCGTTCCATTCCGGTTACCCATTCGGTAAAGAAAGAACTGCAAAGGGGATTGGATGGCAATGAATATACTCTGAACGATTGTAAAAGTTTGTAAACGAGCTTTGACTGACCTGTATAAGTATTTCGGCAACGGTAATCCAAGCGCGAAAAGCAGAATTCATTAGATCAGGGTCAACGTGTACAACTTAGGAAACGATGCCTGTGCCGTTTAGCTGAGCTCCATAGAAGGATGAAAATGTGAAAAGGCTAACTTCAGGTCTGAAGTTGCTTTACTTATTGAGGAAGTTCCCCTTGAAGAGTGTTGTCATCGTCATTGTTCGGTGATATGTAATTACTTTGACAGTACACCTGACGGTGACCGATTGGGAAGGAGGGTTTCACGTCCCCAAGAGGTAATATTGTTTTGGTCACAGCAGTTATAACGACTAGATGTAAGTGTAAACATAAATTAAACCAATAAATATATGAAAACTTTTAGTTCTGATAAGTTCGCGATATGATGCTGAAGTCATGTTTCTATAGCCTTAAGGTTTAGAGATGTAGTCTGTGACTAAAAATTTAGTGCTACTTGGAAATTTCGGGTTTGATGAAGCCGGCTTATGTTTGTGAGCTAACCATTAGGCGCATCACGTGAGGATCTACCATGAGATTTGCGAAAGAAAACAAAGCTGCCGCCTGTAGGACTAGTAACCCCTCATCACCTTAATCTAAGTTGATTCTACACAAGCAATAATTTCACTTCATTAAAAATACGATTAACCTTACATCGGAAGATCCAGGTTGTTCCACTAAGCGTCTTGTATCATCCAGAATAGTCCATCGAGCTTTGTTTAGCATTGATCCTCTCTGAGCTCCCATCTAAGCTAAGGGCCGGTTCACGCAGATCTGACGGAATCAAATTTGACTATATTTCTGCGTTGGTTTGACAGCCTAGGTTGTTATCATATCGGTCAGCAGGTCCTGTGTTTGTTTCCTGTTGTCATGCCCTACCACATCACCCATTGATGTGGCACAGGAAAATAAGCCTTCTTATAATTTTTAATTCAAAAGGTCCTCTCGGATCATGACGAAAAGTCCTTGATTGAATTGATTAGTGTTGCAAACAACTTGAAATCAAGGATTTTTCGTCCGTCGTTCCTTCTCCATTAGTCCCATGGAGACCAATACGTCATTACCACCAGTGAATCACCGCAGTTTGAGTTTTATGTTTAACACAGGTTTAACTGCGGTTAAGTGTTAAAAACACAACAGTTTAAAAGGTAGTCATGTACATTAGTAGAAACAGATGGGAATGAAGTAGGATATCTGGGATATTTAGAATACCCAGTTTTGGACAGACCAGCTGCTTGAGTGTTGAGCCGTTTTTTGTATGGGTGAATAGTTTTGTAGGGGCTCCTTTGAGCTAATACACGAGTCTATGAAACCTCTTGTATGATCCATACAAAGCACCATATGTGCGTGTATGTCATCGTTTAAACACTGATCTGATACAGAGTATAGAGTGGCCGCACAATTCGTTGGCGCACGGTGTACCGAGTTTGTCGCATCCCATCTCGATTCATTCTAATCCAAACCCGGTTACCACCGAGAAGAGTTCGAGCGCGTCGATTGAAGGGCGAATCACCGGCATGATCAAGAAAATAGAAGCGCGAAAAATTCCACGGAGCTAAATCGACTGGAATGTGACGTCTGGTCATACGGGCACGAAAATCGTCATCCTCTCCGCCCCAACCGAAAAACACATTGGACATGCCATTCACTCGTTGAAGAACTCGTTTGTTGACAACGGTTACACCACCAAAAAAATTCTCGTAAAACCTGTAATGTATACAGTATAAAGGAAGAAAGAATGAACTTTCCATTTTTACTATGACGGAAAGAGATTCTCATCATGTAACTGAAGTTGCATAACTTATTTTGCTCTGGTGTGTTAATTGTCGTATTATACTCATTGAAAGAAAAACGGCTGTTATGAGAAATCAAACGAACTATATTATGTTAGTGTTGGTGAGCTGGAAGTGTTGTTCGCAGAGGTTTCGTTTCCAAGCTAGGCAACATCATCAGTGCGACTTGATGACGATGTTCTTGACGATGAACAACACTTTCAGCTCAGAGAACTCACCAACACCAACATCCGCGTGTCGAGCTACAATCATTACACATCATTTCAAATGAACTATTATGTCTGTATTGTTTTATTCATTCAAACACTCAAGGGTATACTGTAACTTCAGTGCACCAAATTTGTTATTTATTTTAAACATACGTAATTCCCACTGTCCTGGTTCCTACAAGTTGTATATGTGCATTGGCTTTGATAACCTAATGCGGTTACATCACTGAAATAGTCCCATAGAGCACATTTCAAACAGAACAACAGAGTGGCGAGCAAGCTCATTCTTAGATATTCGTATTTATGCCAATACATCTCAATATATGTCACTGTTTGGGAAAATAAAATCACAGATTACTAGAAACGATTTCATCGTGAGACCGGAAATCGGGTTCACCGCGATCAAATAATTGTTCATCCACTTGTCTGATCATCGAAATTACTCATGATGCGGTGTGTGTGTGTGGGGTGGGCCAGTGAAGTTTTAGCGCCGGCACAAATTGTTTTTGGGCACACAAAGGGGAGTTGTGCAGACGAATGGTGTTACTTTTTCACCTGCTTTTCTTCCCACCGTCAGTTTTCGCAACTGTAAATTTGTTGTAGTCAATCAATCAATCAAGAAAATCGACAAAATAGCTCTATTTGACGCACGTACTCTTATGATCACTTAATCGGTAACCATTTGTTCAAAAACCGCAATTGTTGTTTAGAATACAGAGAACCCATTAGAAAGACGATCAAAGACTCCGTATCAGTTTGCGTAACGATCTGAACTGCTGTCTTTCAGACACCCATTTGGTCGACCAATAAAAAATGGTTAAATGAAAGAGTTCAGCTCTAAGAACACTAGCAAGGAGGACATATCAACGCAGAAAGTAGGTACACGGAGGACAGAAACTATTTATGACACTCAGTGGTTAATCATTGATCGGGTTGGTCACAAGGTCCCCATCCTGGAATTCCAATGTAAGCCTGTCCTCAGTTAGAACTTACACTATGGCCACGGTCTGGCTCCCCGATAATCAGAAGTGATCAGCCTCTCTTGTTATTGCCTGACCATAAGTGCTGAATGATACGAGCAGCTGACTGAACGTCTCTGCTAAAACTGAATTCATGTTATCCAGATTATATCTGATTTCATTATCATTGCATTCCTACACTAAAATGCGGAATCTTCATTTGAAAGATAGATATTTCGGGGCTGGAGCTGCTGTGACAATGCATATTTACTAGACCAGATCAGTTGTCATAAACATTTCAGAGACTAATCTCAGCACTATTTGCGGAAGATAACGGAAACCTTTGGTTATTGGAGTAGCAAACTATACAGGTTTGACTAGAATGTCTAGTTTATTAGAAGATAGATTTTCTCATGTACGGAAAAACAGAACCACCTTTCGGTGTGTATTTCAACGTGCATTACTGAATGCATGCTCAGTGAAAAACAGAGTTTTAGAAGGTTCGAATAAACTTTGCGAAATTAATACATGTAGTGCCACCACAACATACGGATGTCCCCGAAGGGTCAAGCGTATGATGCAACTTTTTAACCAGTGCTTCTATATAGCGCAGAAATTTGGACGTCACGAAAACAAAATAATAAGAGACTGTCGGTGTTCGAAGATCACTGTCTGCACTCCAACTATTGGGTCTGGTGGGGAAACCGGACAAGCAATGTCGAGGATAGGGCCCAAGGTTTTAGGTAACCGGGGCCATCCACCGGAGAAAGTCGTCGAACTCCATAGACTACGCTAGTTGGGGTGTGTTGCGCATGGCACTAAATAGATTGCCTCGACGCGTGCTGTTTACCGAGGCAGGTGATGGGTGAGACAAAGTCAAGAGTGGTCAAACTAAGACATAGTGTGCAGATTTTAAAGCCCTGACCAGGAGACTTGCTCACATAGGTGACGTTAGGCTTCCTAGATGGGGACATCGGAATCGGTGTAATCAATGGTTGGAGAGAATCATTGACATGGTTGGATGTCGTAACTAGTGGCTCTTTTGCATCTACCCAATGTCTTTGTAAATTTAGTCTTCGCGAATTCTCTATTTTCACCCTCATACTGATTTTAACGTTCCTATCTTCACTTATTCATCCAAATTGGCACTCCGGAGATAGTAAGCAAAACCGGCACACAATAGAGATGGTTGCTACCTGAATTATTCTAAAACCCCAATACTCTGCCTAATGGCTATATTTTTGGCGTTTTCAATTTCATGCAGTTAATTATAATTAAATAAATGTTTTTTTTTCAAGCAGGGATTAAAACTTTATCCAACTTGTTCAAGTTTTACCACAAATCTCCAAACCCAAATTGGTTGATATAATGAATATTAATACTAATTAGTAGTAGTAGTAGCAAATCAAAAACACCTAATATTTGAATATCTGCCACGCATATTTACCAGTGTTCCGATTTGCCTTTCTCCAATTGTATGTTTCCAAGCATAACTGCTGATTTATTTCGAGCAACGCCGATCCGGACAAGTTGAAGCGGATTCCAGTGACATTCGTAAGGAGTTTGCATACTGACTGGCAGTTTGTCCACATCATGCAAAACAAAACAATAGTTTGTGCAGTTGAGACGAGTAGTGACATCCTCAGTGAATGGCCGTTTACCCTCATCTATTAACAAACCAAGTTCGCGTAGGCCAGCATTAAATAGTTTAGCCCGGTTAAAAGCTTTCAAACTGGTTTGTTCCAATACAACAAGTCGATATCGAACCGCCTTTAACGGTAAAAACCGATGCATATAAGACAAGAAGGAGAGTAGGTTTTGTGCCCTCTTTCGGTAGGGGACGACGATTGTGAGTGTTCTATTGACCTGATTACAGTTCTTCATATCCATTACATTATCCGGATTATAATATCCGCCCATATCGATTGTAATGTTTTCACGTCTCAGCTGTTCCAACAATTGGTCTTCAAGATGCTCGTTCCGAATTGAGGGATCCATCGCTTCATGATCAGTTGCAAACAGACTGAGCGCGAACCAGGTCGCATTAGGGTGGATATCCAGAGTTTGTGGATCTACAAACTGGTAAAAGGTGTGCCAAACCAGTTTTGTGAACGGACTCGTGGAATGGGTTTGTATTCTTTCAGATTGTGTAGCGGCTGATTCTGTGAATTCTGTATTTGAAGATGCAGACAACCGGTCACTGGAAGCATTGTAAATGATCAACATCAAAATAACAAGGAACATGTACGAGAGAACGCGCACCGAATTTCGAATTTTCCTCCGAGATGTGAACAATGCATTTGGATCCAAAGCATTGACCAATATTGTGATAGTGGGGACCGATAGACACTCCCTCATTTTTCAGCTCAGACTCTATATTTCCACGCATCACCGCGGCAAGGCACATGCTCGTTTATCACATATGCATTCTGCTATTTGATCTTGAAAAATGGCAAATGGGATCTTTCGAAAGAAAAAAAAATACAAAGCAAACGAAATTTTTAAATAAGTTTTTCTTTTTCAAACAGTCATTCGTACATTAAACCAAAATATGGTTTGTCATTATAAGGGCTTTTTGTGTTTATGGACAGGGTTTGAGTTGAAGTCCCTGTAATCCGCATCGGCAGTGCTATGTTTGCGTTCAATCTCAGAGGATGAATTGTGGCTCTTATCAACCTTGCACCCAACTTTTGTATTGTCAGCCCTTTATAAACTAGCATAATTAGCTCACACATTATCTGTATGATAGCTTTTCATTAAAAAGTGAACGTGGGTTACTGTGAAGAACATAAATCCCATTGTTTAAAGACTTACGGCACGAAAACTGAGGGTGATGTGGAACACTATTAAAATCCAGTTAAGTGATCATTTACTATGAAACTTGCAGGTTATATCAATTTGGAAATCGCGAGGATAGGGAGCTTCACAGTGGCTAGTTCTCGGAAGATAG